GGAAGGTAAATGTCTGTGGGCTAATGATATTAGAGGTGATAATTGGGGAAGCTATCTTTGTGACTATATCCCATTACAAAGATAGCTTCCCCAATTATCACCTCTAATGTCATTAGCCCACAGACATTTACCTTCCGCCCCCCCCTCCCCTGCATCCCCCTCCTGTTCTGAAATGTGATTTGTCCTTTTCATATGTGTTCATTTTTTTTAAATTGTATCCTTTGGTATATATGGTTGTGACTATTTTCTTCCACTATTTGATCTGAAGAAGTGGGTCTGGCCCACGAAAGCTCATCATCTAATAAACCATCTTGTTAGTCTTTAAAGTGCTACATTGTCCCGCATTTTGCTTCAGCTACCCCAGACTAACACAGCTACATTTCTATCACTAGAATTAAATATATTGTGGATGAATTTACTGATCTATGATTGAAGATGTTACCTAGATAGTAAACATTGGTGCTCACTCAAGACTTATTTAACTTGTCTACTTGCAGATGTGTACAACCTGAGTGAAGACATTAACAGATGCTCACTGTCCCTTGTTAAAGACTGACCCCACACTTGAGAGAGAATTTTTTGACAGCAAGAAAGGGAATGGTGGTGCAATTCCTAGTAGGACACAAAAGACTGAAACCTGAAGTGTGCCTCAAAAAAAAAGAGAAAAATGTCAAACTGAAGCTTGAAGACAAGAAAATTGCTGTTATCTTGGATGAACGCTGTGATGATGAGGCAAGGTCATTTCTGAGTGTGCTGTTCAAACCCTTAGAACCTGCATGCTAACTCTTTTTTTGGTGGATATGGTCTTGTGAGATGCTGTTAACCAGTCAACTGTTTCACAGGCAGTAGTCAATGCAGGGCATGAGTCCCAGGCGGATTATGGAAATGTTCTAATCATTGATATTGCCAATGTTAGTTTCATGAAAAAGGCTTTTGATTCTGCATTTTCTACACTGTTTCCAAATTCTGTGCCTCTCCCGTGTTTAGCACGTATTGTTAATTTAACTGGTGAATCATTCAGAAAGCCTTTTTAGCAGGTTGATACATATGTAAGGTGCTCCAAAACCATATTCTATCACTGAGGGAGTGGGAAAGTGATGTACCTCCATTTCATGAACCAGAAACGGAGTCTTCAGGAGTCTTCAGATGCAAAAGCATCCGTGCCTTCTAGCCCAGGTAGAACAGCTGGTTCCATGATGTTCGGTGTCACTCTAAGAACTTTCAGTTCTACCAGTTGAACCTCTCTAGTCCAGCAATCTCTGGTCTGGCAACATCCGTGGTCTGGCATGATTTTAGTGAGCCAGATGTCCACTTATCATGGGCGTGGCCAAATTTCCAACAGTCCCATAAAGTTTGTTTACAGCCACCAGTCCTGGCTCTCAGGCTATATCTACGCTGCCAGTTTTTTCGGCAGAAGATATGCAAATCACACTCATTTGCATATCTTCTACCAATCCTTTTTGCGGAAGAGGTTTTGCTGCTAAAAAGCCCCGTGTAGACGGGGCCATTTATCAGTAAAACCTCCTTTTTCGCCAGATCGTGTCAACCTCGGTTTGAGAAATAAGGGATCTTCCGAAAAAGGGCTTTTTTCCAACAAATGGCCCCGTCTACATGGGGCTTTTTATCAGCAAAACCTCTTCCACAAAAACAATCAGCAGAAGATATGCAAATAAGAGCACACTTTGTATATCTTCTGTCCAAAAAATCCTGGCAGTGTAGACATAGTCTCAGTGCTCTGTGCTGTTGTTTAGCTCTAATTTACTCCTAAATGTCTTCTAAGAGCCCAGCAAGCAGTGGATGTGTTGGTAATGCTGCTAGACAATATTGACCTTCTGTCCAGAAAAATCTTTGGTTCAGCACCTGTAAGATCCTGAGGATGCTGGACAAGAGAGGTTCAATCTGTACGAAAAGTTCTTCAATGAAGAGTGCAAAAGCAGCTGTGTAACTTTGCCAACCAATCAGGAAAAGCTCAATGGCTCAACTCAAGATGCACGATTAAAAGTACAGATCACTTTTCTAGCACAAAAAAACCACATTCTCAGTTTAAATCTGGCATTGGAGAGCAGGAAGACTTCACTTGCTGGAAGAACAGCAGATATATTTCATTTTACATCTGGAGCTCCCTTCAGAACGTACCTCAGAGCTTTTCAAAGTTGGGGAGGCAAAAAAACTTATCTGCTGTTGAAAGACTTGCCCTTCCAGATTTGTTTAAAGAGACATTCCATGAAGCATCTGAAAAGCTTGAAGAAACAGTTGTCATTTGGACAACAAGGTCTGAATTTTCTGAAGGTTTGTAGGTTATGACTTGCAAGAACACTGTATTTTCTAGCAATAGCTGTTTTTTCTGAGGTATCTGAAATGGAGCTAAAACAGTACAGGGAAAGGATGGTGGTTGAAGCGATTCAAAGGGGATCCTGTTTTGTAGACATCCAAGTGTTTCAGCTTTTGGTGAAAGAGGATTCCAAATATAGTCAAATTGGCCTTGAATTGCACACATAGGGTATGTCTAGACTACATGCCTCTGCCGACAGAGGCATGTAAATTAGACATACCGACATAGTCAATGAAGCGGGGATTTAAATATCTCCCACTTCATTAAAATAAAATGGCTGCCACATTGTGCTGGCTCAGCTGATTGTCAGCTCAACGCGGCAGTCAAGACGTGGATTGGTCGACAAGGAAGGCCTTTGTCGACCAATCCCTTATGCCTCGTGAAACGAGGTTTACAGGATCAGTTGACAAAGGTTTTCCTTGTCGAACAATCCGCATCTTGACTGCTGCGTTGAGCCTACAATCAGCTGAGCCGGCACAACACAGTGGCCATTTTTATTTTAATGAAGCAGGGGATATTTAAATGCCCACTTCATTGACTATGCCGGTATGTCTAATTTACATGCCTCTGCTGGCAGAGTCATGTAGTCTAGACATACCCATACTGTCTCAAACTCTGCAAAGAAAGGTTTTCACTGTACAAGTTGATCCTTTCTGCAAGAAGGAATTCACTAAGTGAGAAAAACTGGAAGGTGGTTTGTTCTTTGTACTATAATTTAAATAAAAATACTGGATTGTATTAAAATGCAGGATAATGATCAGCAAAAATTAATGACTTTCATGTGTGAAAGTTTGAACAATTAAAAGTGAGATTGTACTTTAATTTGCTGTTTGGTGTTGTGAAAAGTAATTTCAATGAAAAACCAGAATTATAACTGGAAAGCAGGGTATTGGCTACCAGGCATTTGTAACTTAACTTTCATCTGTTTAGGACATGCCGGGTCATTTTTGTGACTTTTTTCTATATTGTGGTTTAAATAAATTACTACAATAATTGAAACTGACATGATTATGTTGCATTATTTTGACAAATTAAATATGCATAATGTACAGATTTTTTAATTTGGCATAATTCATGTAATTTTTGGATGCAGAATTCCCCCAGGAGTAAAATTATACTACAGATTGAACTTCTCTAGTCTTGCACCCCAAGGACCTGACTGGTGCCAAATCAGAGAATTTGCTGAACCACAGGAGGTCAATATGGTCTAGAAGTTTTACCAGCACTTCCATTGCGTACTGGACTCTTAGAAGACAATGAGTGATAAATTAGAGCTAATTGACATCACAGAGCACTGAGAACCAGGACTGGTGGCTGTAAACAAACTTTATGGGACCACGGGAAACTTGGCCACACCCCTGCTAAGTGGACATCTGGCTCACTAAAATCATGCTGGACGATGGATGTTGCCAGACCAGAGTACTGGACTAGAGAGGTTCAACCTGTAGTTCTTTCAAAGTTGTATGTACAGTCATTGCCCATACTGTAAGATCAACAGCTGTAGAAATTAAATTTGCTTGGAAAAATTGATCCGTGGAGTAAATATTGAAATTGGAGGAGTGACCTTCAGAATGATGCTGGCAAATGTAATGCATAAACATGTCAAGAAATGCCGAAGGAGATGGAAGACGCAAGTTATTAAGAAGCATCTCAGACTGGCAGGTAGCATAGGATTATATTGCAAAAGAGAAAGTAAAGAAAGAGAAAAGGCGACGTTTTGTAAGCAGAGAAAAATGTGTGTTGCCCTGCCCCAGATGGTCTAATTGTCTACGTGCTTAATGGTTTCCCTCATTGCGGTCTGCACACATCTCCATGGTATCTGAACTCCCCCGTGGTAATGACATACTGGAGGGGCACTTAGCTTGGAACATCGTGCTGCTACAGAGTGGGGTAGAGCAAATATAACAGTCTTCTTCTAGATGCATAATCACCTTGATCAATTGGTCCATCAGCCCTTCCAGAGAGAGTACCAATCACAGCACATCATTTGTGTTGTTCTAGCCTGTCCTTTGGCCACCCGTGGGCCAGGCTACTGATGGCAGACATATATCTCCATTAATTCCCTGGTGGACTCTCTCAGGCAGAAGCATTGTAAAGCTGTTTTGTTATTGTTTAATCTAGCAAGAACAAGAGCCTCTGCCTCACTGGGATGATTGGGAAATACCCAGAGAAGAATTCAGTCTGGTCAAGAAGCTTGGAGCTGGATACTTTGGAGAGGTCTATGAAGGATACTGGAAGAACAAGGTCAAAGTTGCCATTAAAACAATTCCCAAAGGTGAGAGTTTGTATTCTGGAAGAATGCTTGGGCTCTTTATCTAAAGAGTGGAGCAATGGCGTGTCTTCTTTCTGCTGCTTCATCCTCCCCCACTATCTAGCAAGTCTCAACCACTCGCCAAACCAAAACTCTACCCTTTCCAGGATAATGAGAGTCCAAAGTAACAACAAACTGCAGTTCCAACCAAAATCCAACACTTCATCTCTCAGTCCAGTGGTTCTCACACAGTCCTCTCCCGGAAAACAAACATATTCCTCCCACCGTTCCCACGGTGCTTCATTGGCCTTTTCCCTAGATCTTTTTTCAGATTACTTCCCCCAGCCCATCCTAGCCTCCTTCCCTGATTTCTCCTCAGCAAAGACCCCAGTCACTGAGGCGGCAGGCCTCTCCTTCATGTCAACAGAAAATTATTACTGAGAAGCGATGTAAACAGAGATCATTTATAGTTGTGCTCCCTTTCCCAGCATTCTTTTCTCTGGCCTATCATTTCAAGAATGCCTTTGAGAACTACGACTCCCAGAAGGCCTTGCTGCCTGGATAGGGTTGTGTCACTGTAGACGTGCCTTTCACTCTGTGGTAGAGTGTCATCCATGGGCAGGAGGTATCATAGGCAGGGGAAGGCCATGCCTTCCCAAGCTGCCTCACTTGGTCCCACCCATGCTCCACAGGAGTCTCCCAGTCTCCCTCCCCCAGCTGTCCATCCTCCCAACACTGGGGCAACACTGGCCATGCTGGTAGCTCAGCTGAGGGGGAGTGGGGCTTTTTGGTTAAGAGTCCAGCCAGCAGGCACAGGGAGGCTGGGGCTGTGCCGTCTGGTTCTCCTCTCTGGCACAGGGGGAGGCTGGGCCATGCTGCCCACTGGAACTCTGGGGCCGTGGGAGGTTGCTGCTACACTGCCCACCAGTTCCCCAGAGCTCCTGATCGGGGGGCAAGATTCAGTGGCCCCATTGTGGGGGGAGGGGCTTGGCATAGAGCAACATTGGCCACAACATGAGACTCTTGGGCTTGCAAGAGGCAATTCAATGTAAAGAACTCCATTCAAGCACCTCATTCCTTTCCGTTTCCTTTTTTTTACCTGGGTCCTTTGCAGCTGACCTGACGTTCCAGGCCACTTTCAAGAATGAAACCCAGGTAATGAAGAATCTCAGGCACAAGCACATCCTCTCGCTCTACGCCATCTCTTCTATTGGAGACCCTGTCTACATCATCACGGAGCTCATGCCCAAAGGAAACCTGCTGGACTTTCTCCGAGGTAAGGCAGGGGAGTGGTGCTCCCAGGTGATTTCAAGCCATGGTGATTGGGAAAAGAGGTTTGATCTTCAGGCCACTCACTCTCTTCCTCCATGACTTACAGCGATGATACTAGCTTAGGTAAAAGAGGGGCACTAGAAGATATATCCTAAAAATTAGAGGATGATTTCCAGGAATGAGCTTTCTTTGGAACAAGTATGGCTGGTCTAGTATTAGGTGAAGCCAATGCAGTTGTAGTACTTCAGATAGTAGGTGTCTCATGTAGAGCACCCAACAATTGAGGCCTCCAGAATAATAGGTGCATATTTTTGAAAATGGTGGTCCAGGCTCTTAGGAACTATGTTGAACCAAAATGTTCTGGGATTGAGCAGGTGGAAAGTGACCCAGCGTACAATTTTTTGAAACCACCTGAGGGTATATCTCTACCCAGCAGGGCAAAAGTTGAATTAAGCTAAGCAACTTCAGCTACATCAAGTGCATAGCTGAAGTCGAAATAGCGTAACTCGGCTTGTGGTGCTGTCTACATAGCAGGAAGTCAAAAGAAGAGTGCTCTTCCTTCGACTTCCTTTACTCCTCATGAAATAAGGGTGACAGGAATAGGAGTAAGAAGTCCTCCAGCTCAACGTTATTTCAAAATAAAGGTTTGCTGGGTGAACGCGAACTTTGTTATTTCAAAATAACATCAGTTATTCCAAAATAACGCCGCTGTGTAGATGTATCCTGAGTGTCTTAAGAAACTGTGTCTCTCACTGGATTCCTAGGGTACGTCTAGACTACATGGCTCCATCGACGGAGCCATGTAAAATAGTTTAGTTGGCATAGTCAATGAAACAGGGATTTAAATAATCCCCGCTTCATTAAAATAAAAATGGCTGCCACGCTGTGCTAACAATCAGCTGATCCAGCTCAGTGCAGCAGTCTAGACGTGGTGCAGTCAACAAGGGAAGCCTTTGTCAACCGCTCCGGTCAACCTCATTTCACAAGGCATACCGGAGAGGTCGACAAAGACTTTCCTTGTCGACCGCGCCGTGTCTAGATTGCTGTGCTGTGCTGGATCAACTGATTGTCGGCACAGCGCGGCAGCCATGTTTATTTTAATGAAGCAGGGATTATTTAAATCCCTGCTTCAATTACTATGCCTAGTAAACTATTTTACATGGCTCCATCGACGGAGCTATGTAAGTCTAGACGTACCCCCAAGGTCCAGATTTTCAAAGGGTATTTTAGGTCCCCCTGCTAGATCCATGGGAGTTAGATACCGCTGAGGATTTGCACCTAAGTTGCTTTTTTACAGGAATTTAGGCTCTTAAGTGATTTTGTTGCTTTTGAAAATTTTAACCCAAGACAGTTGTAGCAGGGAGATACTAAACCCAAGTCAGTGAATACCTTACACTTTTCAGTGCTAGATATAATGAATTATGGGGGAAAGTCAGAGGCACAATTTAATGCGTGCTATCCATCTGTCATTGGCTTTAACAACAGAGGGCCTTGTATTGACCGATTAAGTTCAGTGATGCCCATCTACTTTTGTCATCCAAGGAAGATTTATACTGAGATGTATTGTATCAGGGTAGGATGTGTTTCCAGAGATTTTTTAATAGCCCCAATCTTTGGATATTATGTTAGGAGAAAAAATGGTTAAAATTAACATGCTAAGGAAAAAAACATGGTAAAAAGCGCAGATATTTTTTTTTCTATATATTTCCTACTGGGTTTGGTTTTTTTTTCAAAGCTGGAAATTTTGTCTAAATTTCAAAATTTTAAAAATGTCAAGTTAAAATCTCTGGATATTGGGTAAATGTATGCCTTTAGATTTTCTTTCTTTCTTTCCTTCTTTCTTTCACTTGCCAAATACAAACCCAAACCTATTTTATCAGATGATGGAAGAGGTATGAGATAGATACTGTGCTAGCTCTAGAAGTCTTTGGAACTTTTTGACTGAAATGACATTTAACGCATGAGCTGTAATTTTGGGAGTAGAGCTTCATGTTCTTATCCCTGTGTGATTTTCACATGGGCTTCTATGACTGGCAAAAGACAACGGTGTGCCTTCCACCATCCAAACCTCTTTTCCTTGCTTTGGTCCGCATGGTCATTGGATCTAGAGAATACGCTTGATCTTAGCCTTTCATAGGGTCTTTTGTTCACTTCTGATCAGGGCCGGAAGGGGAGAATCTGCAACTGACCGACCTGGTGGACATGGCATCCCAGGTGGCTGATGGGATGTGCTACTTAGAGTCCCAGAATTTTGTTCACCGAGATTTAGCTGCAAGAAATATTCTTGTTGGAGAAAACAACATCTGCAAAGTGGGGGACTTTGGGCTGGCCAGGCTTATCAAGGTACTGTAAACCAGTTCTGGGCTGATTATGGTTGGAGTGGAAGGGGGAAGAAAGGAAATAGTGGGACCCAGATGAATCCCTCAGTAGGCATCTAATAATATAACTGAGGCCACTAATGGTTAATAAGACTACATCTATACTGCACCTCTCTTCTGCAGAATCTTATGCAAACGAAGCATGGATTAGCATATTGCCATGCTTCATCTGCAGAATTAATTAGATGCCAGTTTTGCACAAGAGGCCTTTGCACAAAAAAAAGCTGTGTAGATAGCTCCTTTTGGACAAAAAACCCCTCTTGCGCAAGAGCCATTCCTAATTTTTTCAGGAAGAACAGCTCTTGCGCAAGAGGGGAATTTTGCGCAAAAAGGAGCCATCTACACAGCAAATTTTTGCGCAAAAGCAGCCCCTAATTAATTATGCAAATGCACATGGCAATATACTAATCTGCGCTTCATTTGCATATGCTTTTGCAGAAGAGAGGTGCAGTATAGACATAGCAACAGATTAATAAACAGGGCTTGACAAATAATGTAATCTACTCACCCGTGGCGAGTAGATTACAACCCGGAAGAGCCAGCACAGAGCGATCTCCTCATGCGCAGAGCACAGAACCGTGCGAAACCGCGCAGCTGGCAAGCGGGGCTCACCGCCATTTGGCGAGCCCTTGATAATGAGCCATATCCTGCTGATGATTACCCCCAGACAGCCTGCACATGGATTTCCTCCATGGTGCTCTGAGTAATGTTCAAATGTGGCTAACTTTGAGTGCACAAATTAATGGACCACCAGGGCATCTGCAAGGGAATTCTCTCAGGGCCTGATTCTGCAATCAGTCTCATGCAGGGAATAATTCCATTCAACTCCGGAGGAGACAAGAGGGGAGGAAGGATTGTAGAACAAGGCTAGCAGAAATGGATCCAATGATCCGTCAATAGTCCACAGCAGATGCTTCTCACTCCAAGACAACATCAATGATGAATGCACTAACGATCCCTTAGGGCCAAATCCCTGTGGTTGCAGAAGGCCTGGGAGCTGCAGAAGCAGTGAGGTTTGGCTGGATAAAAGTTGAGGGGTAGGATATGGAGACAATATGGGATGTGGAGCCCTGCCTGTCCTGTAGGAGAAGGCCAGAGGTGGAGTCTCCTGCAGGTGGGGGGAGAGGGGGAGCATGGGGGAGTCATGGAATACTGCTACTGCACAGAGTTTCACCGCATGACGGGAGGGAGATTCCTCTCTCTCTTTCTGCTTTGCCCAGTTTTTCCGACAGGTCTTTGGACAGCAACAAGCAAGTCTCACCCCTGTAACATCCCCGTTTTGTTTCCTTCTCTTCAAACCCCCTGGCACTGATTTTTAACACCCGGAGGCTGTCTTGACCTCTCCTTTTAATCACAAATGTTGTGTTTGCAGAATGACGTGTACTTGTCTGACGCCTACAACATCCCCTATAAGTGGACAGCCCCCGAGGCCATTTCCCAGGGACGCTATTCCATCAAGTCCGATGTTTGGTCTTTTGGGGTCCTGCTATATGAAATTAGCACCTATGGGCAGGTTCCATACCCAGGTACTGTGCCTTACGCCAGTGATATTCAAACGAGGGGTCGCGACCCAGTACTGGGTGGTGGGATGTCGGGCGCTGGGTCTCGGTGCTGCAGGGGGATCCGGTGACCAGTGGGGGCACTAAGGCAGCTCCCTGCCTGTTCTGGCACCGCAGACTGTGCTGTGCCCTAGAAGTGGCTGGCAACAGGCCCAGCTCCTAGGTGGGGGGTAGGGGAGAGAGCACAGGCCCCTGCCCCAAGCACTAGCTCTGCCCTTCCATTGGCTGGGAACCTGCTGTTGGCTACTTCTGGGGCACAGTATGGTCTGTGGTGCCAGGAGAGGCAGGAAGCTGCCTTAGCACCCCCACTGCACTGTTGAAAGGGAGCCACTCAAGGTAAGCCCCTCCTGCCCCAGCCCTGACCCCCCTCCCCAAAATCCAGAGCCCCCTTCTACACTCCAAATCTCTCCTCCTTAGCCCTCTACTGAAGCCCAAACTCTGGTCACATGATGTTGGGTCACAGGCATCAACAGTTTTTCCTTCAACTGGGTCATAGGAAAAAAAGTTTGAAAACCCCTGTCTTATGCTATGTGCAACTCCTCACCATTTAGTTTCATTTCAGGGGTTATCAGTGGGAAAGAACCTGCTTTGTGTTTGGTTTGGAGCCAAGGCTGAGGCCTCAGCAATAAGCCATGGTGATTAGAGATGGGCAAAAAACAGATCTTTTTAATTTACTGGTGATTAGATAGATAGATAGATAGATAGATAGATAGATAGATAGATAGATAGATAGATAGATAGATAGATAGATAGATAGATAGATATTTTGACTTTGAGCATTTTGGAAAAGTTTATCTTGAGAGAATTAAAAATTGAAATTTTAAAACAGAAAGTCACTTCAAATGGGAAGCTCAATAAATTTCATTTGTGGTTTTCTAAAGTGAAACATTTTGAGCTGGAGTATTTTTCAAAAGTTGTTTTCCACCAGAAATCATTTAGTGAAATTGACATGAATGCACACATTTCTGGGTTACCAAAGCTGCATGCTTCACTGAAAATAAATGTCAAAAAATTTCACCCAGCTCTCATGGTGTCAGGACATATGTTACATGCATCAAAGTCTAGGAAGCATTTTTCTTCAGATTGTATCCCTAGTATAAAGCAGATTAAAGGCTCCTGTCTGCCTTCAGTTACTCCAGTGTATTTCCCACTCACTTCCATAACTCACTTCCATAACTCAGGGCAGAATTGAGCATGGCAATGTACATTCGAGACACTTTCCCAAATACACATAAAGATGCTTCAAGAAGGAATCATGGTACTTACCCCCAAAGATATTGGATTCCTGTTCCCATTCTGGCTACACTTGGAGTAGTGAAGATTCGCTGCATTTGTGCTTTTAACACACTTTTTCTCCCTTCATTGCAGGTATGAGTAACGGTGAAGTTTGCCAAAAAGTCCAAACAGGTTTCCAGATGTCCTGCCCGCCAAAGTGCCCATCCACGCTTTACAAAATCATGAGCAAGTGCTGGCACCTCAGTCCAGATCAGAGGCCAGATTTCCAGAACATTAGAGGGAAACTCCAAAGTTTCATGTACTATGAGAACCCAGAATGACAACTGCACCAGGAGCCATCCTATTCTTGTTTCTTTTCACCTCTTACATTTCTGTTATAAAGACCTCTAGGATATGAAACCAATTGCTCTCTGGACTCTGAAACAAACAGCCTGGGATATCTGCAGGCTTTTCCTGGATCATTTTCTGCAGAATAGGGATGCCGATGTACTAAGGATGCATGCGTAAAGAACAGCTGTTTCCAGAGATGATAACTCTGTTTCAAAAGCAACGACTCATGTCAGTTATCAATCATTTCACACACACACCAATCTGAAGACACACAAGCAAAACCGTGCTGGTCTGATTTTCTCCTAATAAATGACAATAGATTCCTTCTGTCCGCCTTGCAC